GTTCTTTGAGCTATATTTAAAATAACTGTTTTAAAGTCTTTGTCTAGTAAGTCTAATATTGTGGGCTTCCTCAGTGACAGTTGCTAATATCTCCTTTTCTTCCTGTATATGGGCCATACTTTCTTGTGTCTTTGAATACGTCATAAATTTTTGCTGAAAATTGGACCTTTAAAATAATATAAAATGGCAACTCTGGAAATCAGATTCTCCCCCTTCACCTGGTATAGTAGTTGTTGTTCTTGTTTCTTTTCTGACTTTCCTGAACTAATTCTGTAAAGTCAGTATTCTTTGTTGTATGTGACCACTGAAGTGTCTCCTCAGTTAGCTTAATGGTCAACTAATAATTAGAGAAAGCCGTAAGTGCCTGGGACCAATAAGTCTCCTAGTCTTTGTCAAGTGGCTCTGTGTTCATATTGGGACACACCTGTAACTGAGTCAGGCAGTTTACAGCTCTGACTTACCATTTGTTTCTTGCTTAAACAGAGTTTCAATGTCAGTAGTGAGAATTTTGGGCCTTCTCAGGTCTTTCCCAAACATGTACATAGCCCTGGGTATGCACACAGTTTTCTATGTGCATAGATGTGTGGTATTTTAGATTCCCAGGAATGTATCGGGGATTTTTTTTTTAAATATTTTATTGTGTTTTTGGTGAAAGTTTACACAAAGTTAGGTTCCCGTTTGACAGTTTCCACACATTTTGATCAGTGGAAATGGGATTTTTAAAGGGTTCCATGAACATCTCATTTTCCAGCTTTTCCTTTTAGGTTTTTTGGTTAGCTTTTTGTTTGCCACTGAAATGTTTTGCTGCGTCAGGCAGGTGCAGTGTTAAACAATTGCAACTGATTGTTTTTTTTGCAAATGACCATGGGGAAAAGTCTGTTCACGCTGGGAGAGCTCTCAGTCAGGTAAGATTAAGACAAGCCTTCTGAGTGGTATTTTTCAGAGAACTTCCAGGCAGGTCACATAATGAGAATTCTCTGAACATGAGACTGAAAGAGCGACAATCCTACTCTGACCTCTGCTGTGGCTGTTCAGCTGCTGGTTTTCATTGTGAGTACTGTCTGATGGCTACTCTGTCATGGCTGCCACACAGCTGGTGAGAGGGTGATGAGTCTAGGGTAAGTTAAAACGCCACAAGTCTCACTATTTTTACCTAGATTCAGCTGTTTTTATTTAATAAGAAAGATGTTCCCTTGATTGTTAAAGGTCTTTGGTTAATTTCTGGAGTACTAAAAAGCAGTTTTTGCCAGCGTTCTCATTGCATTTCTGGAGAAGATTTTTGAAAGTCCTTCCTTTGACTTTCCTGATAAATGTCACCCTCAATTATCTTTAAAAGCGACTTAAATAATAATTTAAAAACGTACTTTTCTTTACATTTACCCACTTAGTTATCATTTTTGGTGCTCTGCATTCCTTTGTGTATATTCAGATTTCCATCTTTTATCATTTTCCTTCTGCCTGAAGAATTTTAATATTTCCTGTAGTTCAGATCTGCAGGTGATGCATTCTTGCAGTTTTTTTGTCTGAAAAGGTCTTTATTTCCTCTTTGCAGCTATATTCATGAAGCATATTGTTCTATAGTTTTCTTGTAATATATTTGCCTTGTTTTGCTATCAGTGTAATTCTGACCTCATAATAGAGTTGAGGAATGTTCCCATCTCATTTGTTTTCTGAAAGTGATTTTAAGGAATTGGTGTTTTTCTTCCTTAAATGTTGATAGAAATCAGTAGTGAAACCATCTGGGCCTGGAGTTTTCTTTGTTGGAAAGTTTTAATGACAAATTCAGTGTCTTTGGTAGATACAGAGTTGGTCAAATTGTCTTTCCTGAGTGAATATTCCATTATCCCTTTAATGTCTGCAGAGTCTGTAATGATGTCACCTCTTTCATTCCGATAGTGGCAGTTTTTGTCTTCTCATTTTGGTCAGTCTGGCTAGAGATTTATCAATTTTATTGATATTTTCAAAGAGTCAACTTTTGGATTCATTGATTTTTCTCTATTGTTTTTCTATTTTCTGCTTTTTAAAATTTCTGCTCCTTAATATTTCCTTTCTTCATCTTGCTTTGAGTTTAATTTGTTCTTTTAGAGTCTTAAAGTCTATATTTTTTTGAGTCCTTTAAATTTCCTTCTAAGCAGCACTTTGTATCCATAAATTTTTGATATATTATGTTTTAATTTTCATTTTATTCAATGTATTTTCTAATTTCCCTTGAGATTTCCCCCTTGGCTTATTTAGCTGTACATTTCTAATTAGTGGGAATTTTCCAGATTTTTTTATGTTGTTATATTATGGTCATAGAACATACTTTGTATGATCTCAATTCTTTTAAGGTTTGTTTGGCCCAGTATATGGTGAATGTTTTATGTATAGTTGATGTTGTTATTGTTAGGTGCCATCGAATTGGTTCTGACTCATAGCGACCCTATGCAGAACAGAACGAAACACTGCCCGGTCCTGC